AACAGTGAATTTATAGAAAAGCAGGATTCTGAAAGACTTTTCTTCAGAACGTGGCAAAATACTACTGCTGCAACTAGTGAATCTGCTGGTAGGGGCAAAAAACTGCTTGAGAGACCCTGTGTATGATGAAAAGTAAAGTAAGGTAACACTGTGATGGAACAGAGGTGATGAACAAAACAGTGATTCAGAAAAGTCATAAAGAGAATACCTAATCATAAGTGGAGTATATTCAGTCCCATTTTCTCTTTTCTTTTTTTTCCCATTATAATATTTTAATCTTCTTTAAAATGGAAAACTAGAGATTTTAAGAGTTGATTGTCCATCACAACTAATGAAGGAAGTTAGAGCTTTTGTACAAACATACATAAACCCTCTCTAGTGATTTTAAAGTTTTGTGCATTTGTTTTTACACTCAAGCATTCTTGCAGGGACTCATTCCTTCTTCTTATCTTGGCAAGAAAAGACCTGCCAGATAATTTGATCAGAGATTTAAAATAAGGGAGGAGGGAAGAAAAGGGGAAGAAGAAGCAGGCATTGCAAAAAGCAGAGTGGATGACTCAATATATGGCATGCTTCTGCCACTGCACTTTGGTGGAGTAAGTCACAGCAGCCACAAAATGTCATCTTTGACTACTATAAAAATCTGTGATCAGCTGAAGATTCCTCACTAAAGGAAGGGCTTCTCCTGCTCATACTTCAGTTGCATTTGTCCTTTCACAGTGCTGTAAAAACTTGTGGGCTGAATAGAAAAAAAAAGCATAAAGGCAGGGCAAGTTAAGGAATAGCAAGTAATAGATCCCTCTCTACACGTTAGAGATAATGAGCCTACCAAAGAGTCCTGAGAACCAATAAATCATTTAGGCATAAACAACCCCTTTGGGATGGGCTATGGGAACATAAACATAGCAAAGGAAAAAAAAAACTACAAACCAACCAGATTTTTTTTTCTTCTTTTTTTTTTTTTCTTTTTCATTTGTGTTCATCTTGGAAGAGCAAGGATTCCAGTGCTAGTACCTTTTCTTACGACTTATCTTCCATGGAAGGATCTGTTTCAAATTGAGAAGTCACTAAAAGGCAATTATAGCATGAAATGATCCATAACAAAGCACTACAACTGGCTGATACTTGCTCTTGTGTTCTCTTGTTGTAAATGTCTCATTTAAATCACCTTTGGGACCAAAATGCATAGAGCATAAAATGATAAACGTTTTTTTATTCTCCCCAAGTCATCAAAAGAGAGCCAGGACCACTGAGCCTGGCATCTGCAGGAGACAGCATGGTAGAAACTGCTTTAAAGAATGGAACCAATGGAAATGAAGATGAATTAAGTAGGGAAGGAGTCAACAGTGATTTTTGTAAAGGGAGGTAATGACTCTCAAATACAAGACGTGTGTTAGGATTGTATGCACGTATATGAACACACTGGATGCAAGAGATATGGTTGACACAGTCTGCCATAATTTCCAGAAGACATTCAGCAGAGGCTGTCAATGAAGCCAGACTGCCAAAATATATTTTTTTCCTCACATGTATAACTAAATAGGTAAAAGAGAAATGCTCAGTTTTTCAGGTGGAGGAGGATTCTCTCTATTGGAATCCCAAAGAACTCTGCAGCTCAGCTTATATTTTTAATGATCTGGACAGAGGAAAACTGTTGCAGTGGCAGAATTTGTCAACACATCAAAGCTGTTCAAGCTAGAACACAGAGGTGGTAGAAGGATTTCATGATAGTGAATGACTGGGTAATAATAGCAGAATACATTTTTTGTACATAACTATAAAGAAAAATTAAAATATCCAGGCAAAATCCTAAGAAGTGCCTAGTTTCTGATTGGGTTTACATGATTGTTAACACTCATTATCTTGGGATTTTACTACATAGGCCCATGGAAATACCAGGTCAATACTCGGTAGTAATCAAAGAACAAATAGATCATTAGAAATTTATTGGGAAAAAAAGAAACAGAAAAAAAAATATGTTTTAGTTTATAAATTTGTAGTGCACTTCTGTTTTGAAGGCTGTATGCAAGTTCTGTTCTCCCTCCACCTCAGGCTGTAGCATAACTGGAGATAGTACAGAATAGGGTGGCAAAGATGATCAGAAATATGAAATTGGATTTCATCGAAGGGACAGTTAGAGAACTAACACTGTAACCTGGGAAAACAAGAAATGGGGAGGAGAGTGCTAGAGATGTAAAAAATCCTTTTTCTTCTGTTTTAATAGGAATATGATAATACTCTATGATAATAGTTCAGAGCTGTCAAGTAAAGCAAACAGGTAACAGGCTCAGAAAAGCCAAAGACAATTCCTATACTTACTACCTAAAAAGAACCTATATAAAAGATGGGGGAAAAATTTTCACCAGATAGTGTAGTGATAGGAAAAGGGGTAATGGTTTTAAACTGAGAGAGGGCAGATTTAGGTTAGACATCAGAAAGAAATTCTTCACTATGAAGGCAGCAAGGCTCCGGAATAGTTTGCTCAGGGAGGTTGTGGAAGCCCCCTTCCTAGAGGTGTTTAAGGCCAGGTTGGATGAGGCTTTGTGCAGCCTGGTCTAGTGGGAGGTGTCCCTGATTGTAGCAGAGAGATTGGAACCTGATGATCTTTAAAGTCCCTTCCAACTTTAACCATTCTTGTGATTCTGTTTCTTGTGTCCTGTATTAACTGTGTATTAACTGTGTAATTCCTGTATTAACTGTGTAATGCACACATGACTTTGAAGTGTGTAAGTTTATATTGGAAACTACTAATTGAAGGGGTTTTTTTCCATTTCTGCAGGGAAACTTGACAGCAAAAACATTGTGTACTATTACAACAGCATTTCTGTCTTTAAGTACTGCAGGTAAGTTTATAGGTGGCCGTGGAAGGTTCTGTTCTGAAACATATTTTCACACAAGTAATACTAATTTTCTGTGAAATGGCTGTAAAAGACAGGTAAAATTTATGTTCATGCCAATGAGTTCTTTTAAACAGTCCTAAAAGCAGGGACCTGTATAGCATATTATAGATCATATTTTATGTACTGTCTTATCACAGAATCATTTAGATCGAAAGGGAACTGTTGAGATCATCTAGTCCAACCTCCCAGATTCACCCCAGGGCTGGCTAAAGCAGGTTGCCCAGTACAGTGTCCAGTTGTGTTTTTACTATCTCCACAAATGGAGACTCCATGACCTCTCTGAGAAATTTGTTTCAGTGTTTGGTCACCCTCACAGCAAAAATGTGTTTTTTTGGTGTTCAGATGGAATTTTTCCTATTTCAGTTTGTTCTTGTTCCCTCTTGTCCATCGGTGGGCAGCACTGGCAAAAGTCTGGCTCTGTTTTTCATTCCACCTCATAAAGTATTTACACACATTGATAAGATCCACTCACACACTCCCCAAGCCTTCTCTAGGCTGAGCAGTCCCTGTTCTTTCTGCCTTTCCTCATGTGAAGATGCTCCACGCCCTTAATAATCTTTTTGGCCCCCCATTGTCTCCAGTGAATCCAGGTCTCTCTACTGGGGAGTCTAGAACTGGCCGCAGTACTTCAGATGTGGTCTCATCAGTGCAAGCAGAGGTGAAACATCACCTTCCTCAAGCTGCTGGCAAGTCCTAATGTAGCCCTGGACACTTTTAGCCTTCTTTGCCATGGGGGAGCATTGGTTACTCATGGTCAGTTTGTTGTCCACCAGGACCCCAGTGTTCTTCTCTGCAGAGCTGCTTTTCAGCTGAATCATCTCCAGCATGTGCTGGTGCCTGAGGTCATTCCTCACCAGATGCAGGACTTTACATTTCTCTTTTGTTGAAGTTCATAAAGTTCCTGTCAGCCTACTTCTCCAGCCTGTGGAGGTCCATCTGAATGGCAGCATGACTCTCTGATGTATACACTGATGAAATGACTTGTAGTTGTAAATGTACAGAATATGTCCTTAGGATTTTTTCATGTTGGAAAATATAGCCATTTGAAAGTAATACAGCATCTACATTTCAGCAAAGTTGCTAGGCTACTTAGTAGGAACTGCTTGATTCTGCCCTTCAGCTGTGAGCTGACAATCCAGTTAATTCTTAAAATATTTCAGATGTTTCTGCTGTCATCATCTTGTTATTCCACCTGGAATCTTGCAGCAGTAAAAAATGTCATACATTTGCATTCCTTGAGTTTCTAGTGAGCCATTTGGTTGGAAATGGTTAGGTTTTGGTTTGGGATTTTTTTTCCCCATGGATGGACAAGCAGCAAGGTTCACCAGTCCATTGGATAGTCTGTATTTTTGGCACTACATTGCTGTTCTTATATTCTAATGAAATGAGGAATTTTAGAAAAGAGTACTGACTCTGGCTACCAAGGTCACATTCCTGAGTTGATGCCTTTTTTTGTCTTACTGACAAAAAAAAATAGTTAAAAAATAACCTAATGGCATTGCTCTTTTCTCCTTGGGTCCTGGGAAAATAAAATGAACTCATTGTAAGTGCTTGGAATAATTCCTCTCTAAATGCTCATAAAATGAAGGGTGAGTTGAAATTTCCTTAGCAAACTTAGTATTCCTGCAACAGCAACTTTAATTTCAGTGTCCTCTTCAGACATTGGGTAATGAAAGCATCTGTCTTGAAGACTCCCTTTGATTACAGTTAAGTGAGGTTAACAAATAAAAATGCCCAAAGTGAAATGTGTGTGTATGCACACAAAACAGACTGGAGAAATGCAAGTACTCCTGTAATTTGCATCTCAACTAAAGCCTATCAACGACAATCTCGTGCAAATGAAGAGATTCTGTTAAGTGTGAAGTCTGCATTCCAAAAACATTTCAGTGGTGTAACTATAGTTGTGTATCACTGAGCAGTACTCTCAACTATAAAAATAAGGGATTATAATTGTATTTTTAGTAAATAAGACTTAAGAATGGAGGTGATAACTCCAATGGACTTTGTAAATGAAATCAAGAAATGAGTTCTGTATATCTTTCAATGTTTTCTTTCATGTTTTACCTCTTTCATTCAGGTAAATGTGATGCCTATGATGTGATGTTGAGGCAAAGTCTTGTGCTTGATGGGCAGCCTCTTGCTATTAAGTGTTCACTGGAAAATAGCTTGCAAAGTGGAGACTACAACGTAACATGGTATAAAGCTGGTAACCAGACAGCTGTGCATAAAGACAAACTTTCTAGAATTCATCAGCAGAAGAATTTCCTTTGGTTTCTCCCTGCAATGTTAGAAGATTCTGGAGATTATGAATGTGTCATAAGGTGAAAGTTAAAAAAATTATTATATTGCTACAGGAAAATACAAATTAAGAAAGGAGACTGCATTTATAGTAACTATAGGTTGGGGGAAGTCTAGTTTGACTTTTTTAATTATTTTTTTTTTTTTCCTAGTAGGCAAAAGTAAATGTTAGAGAAACTGTAAACTTCTCATCCTCTCTTCTTCCCCCAAAAGAATACTATATATTTTCAAGTTAGAAAATAAGCTAAGTAGATTAATTTAATTATATTGTATTAATTGCAGGAATTCAACAAGCAGCTGGAGAATGTCTACAAAAGTAACAGTTTTTGAGAGGAGTGATGGTTTATGTTTAAATGAAAAATTTGCTGTAGAGGAGTTGATATTCACATTATCATCTGCGAAGGTTGTGTGTCCACATTTGGACAATTTCAGGAATGAGAAGAATATTCAGCCTGTTCATTGGTATAAGGTGAGAACACTGTGTTTTGTACTCTTAGAGCTGTCCATTATTAAAAAAAGAAATCACTGGTGCCTGTGAATTTTAAAGTAAAAACTAAAGATCTATTGTAAATGAGAGAAAATGCTTTTAAAACAGATTGGGAGAGGATTAAGACTTTAAGTTTTATACAAAGGTTTTTGATTAACGGGGTAGAAATTCCGCTTAGATGTCGGAGACCTTGATCCACGTCTCCATCAGGTGGCGTATTTTTACCTGCCAGCAAAATCTGCTTTCGTGAATTCATTTGTAAGAGCTGGCAAAATTGTTCTGTTCAGTAAATGACATTTCATCTTCCTCATGCTTATTTAGAGGCTCTTTTTATGAAGAGAATTCAGTGCCTTCTGCAGTATTCCTGCACCATGCCCATGCAGTGCACGTGGTGCAGTATTTAAATACTTCTACAAATCCTGACACTTGCATTTCATTTCCTTATTTCTCCAAAATTGAAAATTGTTATCTATAGGATATGAACTAGAGTATCTTTGAATTAGAAACTCAGTGTGTTTTGCTTTTTATTTTCCCTGACTCGCTCTTTCTCAGCCTCTGCAAGGCATCCATCCTTATGCTCTGATCCATTGAAAGTTCACATTGCATTAAAGAGAAACAAACTATGGAAAGAGGTAGTGATACAAATTAACGGAGCTCTCTACGCACTTTTAGGACTGCCAGCTGCTGAAAGGGAAAAGATTTACCTTCTCAAACAGTGATCTTATAATTTTTAATGTGAGTCTGCCTGATCAAGGAAACTATACGTGTGAAACAACGTATACCTACAATGGAAAACAATACAACATTTCCCGAGATGTCAAGCTGACTGTAGAAGGTAAGTAGATAATTTCACTGTATTTGTGTTTGTAACAATGACTTCAAATTTTTTTTTCCAAGTTTCTAAAAACTAAAGCTAAAAGATGTATTTGTCTGTTGAAGTTTTGAAGTTGCAGTACATCAAAGCTCTGCTGCCCATATCAGCTGCCAAGGTCCCTATAGGGCTTGGTAGGCACGATACTTTCTGCAGTAGATACACCTTCTATCCTGTCTGGCTTCTCTCTCACATTATCCTCTTGCAGCAAGAGCAATGAACTAAACCGGCCCAAATTCTTGCAGCATCTGGACTCTGTGTGTCCCACCTGTTTTCTTCAAATATGTGTCTCTTCTGGATTTGGTTTTAAGTTCCTCAGCACAAGAATTGCTGATCTTTGATAATGTGTGTCTAGACCCTGATTTGTGTTGGGGGCCAGCAGCTCAACAAAAAAAAACAAAATAAGGCCTAGCTGTAAAACATGAACTCCTTTGCTAGCGCAGCATTATGCAATTGATATCAGATCACTAAAAAGGCTATGCTTTATCAAGGTATGAAATACCAATGCTGTTCTTACTTGCCAGCTGATGAAAGACATTTTCAGGTTTCAGTTTGCATTACTATTCAATGGTCACTTTTTGTGCCTGCCTGTTTTGTCTGTGTGCATGTGTATGCATACATATGTATGCACATGTGTATATACATAATATGAATATGTTTCATATTAATATAATGTCCTATGTATGATGCGGATAAACAAAATATGAGGTCAGATCAGATGAAGTGATCATTCTGGTCTTAAAATCTGTCCCTAGAACTCCTCTCTCAATGTAATTTCAGCTTCCACTACTCAGTAGAAGGAAAATCATATAACTCCTTTGCAGTAACTGACTGAAGGCAGCTTAGTTGTTTTTAAACACTCCAGCTGAGCAAGTCTGTGTTAAAATGGGTGATTTGAGGGCCAAACAATAGTGCAAGCCCAGTTTTCAGAAGGAGAAAGATATACTTGGGGCAATCG